AAAAAAAAACAAAAAAGAAATATTTCAATCCACTAAACAAATGCAGCATCTTAAGTTGGGCGTTGATATAAAAACTGCAAGACGACAACGATTAACCAGACACAAGTCGAACACAGTTCACTAGAGTAACTAATCCAAGCAAACAAAGCAAATATGGTAAGTAACTTAACTAGAAAAAAAAAATATTTTCGACTAAAAAGGACTTTAATTTGCAGAAATTCTTCGCTATTGCCAGCTTAGCCGCCATATTGGCTTGCGCCTGCGCTGACGTCTCTGAGCTATCTGGTTATCACTACCACCCGCATCACTATAGTGCTCCATCCCATTCGTACATTCCACCGGCAGCTACTGCTCCTGAACCAGTCTTCGCTCCTGCGCCTGCTCCAGCACCAGTTTACCAGCCAGCTCCTGCAGCCGCTGCTCCAGCTCCAGTATATCAGCCAGCCCCCGCCCCTGTCTACCACCCAGCCCCAGCTGCCGCCGCCCCAGAGCCAGTCTATGCTCCAGCCCCCGCAGCAGCTGCTCCTGAGCCAGTTTACCAACCTGCTCCAGCGGCCCCTGAACCAGTCTACCAGCCAGCTCCTGCTGCCCCCGCTCCAGTCTACCAGCCAGCTCCCGCTCCATCAGCTCCAGTGTCATCTTACATTCCACCTGCACCTGCAGCAGCAGCTCCTGAACCAGTGTACGCCCCAGCTCCAGCCGCCGCTGCCCCCGAGCCAGTCTACCAACCTGCCCCCGCACCAGTATACCAGCCAGCTCCAGCCGCAGCAGCGCCAGCTCCAGTCTACCAACCAGCTCCAGCTGCTTCCCAAATCTACGAGCAGCCCGCTGAGGATGGTTACAGATACCGTACCGTGCGTCGTCGTGTCTACAGACAACGTCGCTTGTAAGCTGGAAAGTTTCGAATATCTTGTAGATATCGCAGAGGCTTAAAAGGCGAATTGATTTTGTAATTCGTTGGAATTGTTTTATTATCCAGTTGTTGTTTTTTAATTGTTTAAAATAAATTGTTTGATATATCGAAAAATAATGTATTAATTTTCAGCGAATGTTCAAGGCTCTACCAAAAAGAGATATAAGAATTTGTACTGTTAGAAAACAAGCTCCCTTCCTTGACTTTGGTGCCGTCCCGATACAAAACACGGACACTGAACGCACTATTCGCCACTTCAGGTCGTCAAAAAGTTCGATCCCGGAAGTAGTTCTACAGTTTACCTAGGAAGCAATGACCCGCCAGAGCAGCAATGATGTTAAATACATATATCCTCCATTCATCGCGGTTATAAACTTCGAGACCTTCTACATCCCCCTTAGGCCAAGTTTGCCCAAAGATCAGACAGGTATATTTCAGTAGTTGCTGGACAATAGACAAGTTCCCTCTAGGGTAATGGCTATCGGACGCAATAAAGTCTGGGGCAACTTNGCGATATCTTGTCGTAGATATCGCAGGGGCTTAAAAGGCGAATTGATTTTGTAATTCGTTGGAATTGTTTTATTATCCAGTTNCGAATATCTTGTAGATATCGCAGAGGCTTAAAAGGCGAATTGATTTTGTAATTCGTTGGAATTGTTTTATTATCCAGTTGTTGTTTTTTAATTGTTTAAAATAAATTGTTTGATATATCGAAAAATAATGTATTAATTTTCAGCGAATGTTCAAGGCTCTACCAAAAAGAGATATAAGAATTTGTACTGTTAGAAAACAAGCTCCCTTCCTTGACTTTGGTGCCGTCCCGATACAAAACACGGACACTGAACGCACTATTCGCCACTTCAGGTCGTCAAAAAGTTCGATCCCGGAAGTAGTTCTACAGTTTACCTAGAAAGCAATGACCCGCCAGAGCAGCAATGATGTTAAATAAATATATCCTCCATTCATCGCGATTATAAACTTCGAGACCTTCTACATCCCCCTTAGGCCAAGTTTGCCCAAAGATCAGACAGGTATATTTCAGTAGTTGCTGGACAATAGACAAGTTCCCTCTAGGGTAATGGCTATCGGACGCAATAAAGTCTGGGGCAACTTATATGCAGAAATATTTTTGCGTAGAGTTGCCGTCATTCTACTATTTTTTTTTTTAATCTACAAGTTGATCAAATATTTTAGTACTGATAGCAAATGAATGGTGTAGGAAAAACCGCTAATGCGAACAAATTAATTGATAGGGTTACCACCGTAACGCTTATGACCTTTAAAATAAAATTCATAATTTAGCAGTTAAATCTCGATATTTTTTCCGAAAAATTTAAAATTCAAGGATTTTGCAATAAAAATTAATAAATATTTTGATGCATATTAAGCGAAAGCTTGGAAAATTTTTTGGATAGGGTTGCCAACTGTTGTCAAATACGATAATTTAGTTATTTAATGGTTATACTACATTTTGAAGCAGGTTTTTCAAGCGAAAGGTAGCTCAGTCAACTTTTTTGTTATATTTTTGAAAAGAGTTGCCACCATTCGAAAAGCGGAAGTTAATTTAATTAAATTAAAAAAAAAATAGAGATACAAAATATGACAATATAAAGCCAGGCTAAAGTTGACGATTTTTCAGAATAACGTGTTCGGTAATATTTAGGAGTAGGGTTACCAACAAAAAAAACGTCTTTAGCTCACATTATAAAATGTACATATTTTTTTATATCTAAACAACTAAAAAAAATTATTATTTTTTTTTGAAATTACATATTTTGAAAAAAATTTCATCATTTCATAATCTCACTACCCGCAAATTTGAAATTTTTAATATTTTTGTCTTTTTTAGAGAATTTAGTTTTCTTTCTCACATATGTACATACATATATGCGTAGTACAACGTATATTTAGAAGTATGTATGCAAGTAAAAGCTAAACCGATAAATGATTCTCAAAGCATAAAAGTGTTCTAATTTCCGCATTTTAAAGTTTTAAACCGCTTTTGAGCCTTTCAATGCAATTAACATAAGTGCATATAAGCGCAATATGCAATACGGGGGGCTCCCCTTCTTTCCCACCGAAAAAAAAACCACAAACACATCTACCAAAGTTAGCCAATGCTGACTGCTGCTACCAACACTGCGGATCTAACACCGAGCACACCACCACGCACACCACCCCGCACACTACCCCGCACACCTCCACACACACCGCAGCACAGCACTAAATTAGTTTCCGACCCCATAAAATCGACGGCGGACTCTTAATTTATCGCCTCATTAAATGCGAGCAGCTTCCAATTGTTTCATGCAACCGGCGGCGTTCGAAGACTCAGCAACAGCCAACAGCCAATGGCCAAGCGATAAAGCCACATAGCGATTTACGCCTACTAACGCGTGTATGCTTTGTTAATGTTGATGAGTGGGCAGAGGCGCTATGATTGCTAGTGGGCGCAGGGGTAAAAGGTGGTACAGCGCGTACTTAAAGCTTGTTGCTGTAGTTAGCCGGTGCGCTCGACTGCCGTTTTGCTTGGTCGTTGTGTTGATTGCTAGCGATTTGCATAAATTCTAAATCGGTTTTAAATTTATTTGTTCAAAGCTTCCGCTCAGCGCTTCTCCACGACCACGACCACATTAGGGTGGTCTAAAATAAGTAAAGTCGGGCGCATAAAATATAGTTACTATAAAAATTTGGTTAAATAAATGATTGGGTATTATTATTGGGAATCTCCTGAAGAGGAATAGAGTTTCCCGATCAAAAAATATTGATTTTTAATGAATTCCATACCATTTCTACGAAAAATTGTTTTTCCCCATATAAAATACATTGAAAACTTTGAGCGACCTCAAAATATTTTTTTTTTCAAAATAAAAATATAGTGGTATATTTTTTTCGGTATAAAACAATCTTAGGGAGCGAGAGCATAAAAATTTATTTTTCACATGCATTTTTGGACCACCTTAATGTACATACATACACCATCATCACACTACTATTAACCACCATCTGTGGTTTTTCTACTTTCATTTTTGTTTAATTTTTTTTTATAATATTTTTTTTTTGTTATATTTAATAGCTTCTTTGCTTCTCTATTTTTTTTAAGTTCAAATGCATCTCAATTTTAGCTGCCCATCGTTTCTAGGTTTGGTGGCCTTATCGAGAATGCCACGCGTGTGTATAATTATTTGTTGCTTTAAGCTATATTTTTTTTTATATAATTTATTAATTATATGATTTACAGTTTCATGAGGAGGCATATCAGGCTTTTTAAAATTTACATATTTTAAAAGGTGGCAGGCTAATACACATACATATATAAGGCTAAAATTTCGACGGCATATTTGTTTTCGACCATTGATCTATTCTTAAGTGATTTAAAAAAAAAATATGGCCGATTTTCCGTAATTTTGATTATGTTTTTAAACTGAAATTATATTTGAAATCTAGGTTTATTTGTATTTGTGTGAGTTTGGCTTCTAGATTATTCTCAAAAAGGAGCTGAGGACTAAATCCGCGCTTGCATTCATTGCATACTAAAAGTGCTTTATCCGAAAAAAAAATAAAAATATATTTTTTTAAGCCTATTACCTAAATATGGCCTTTCAAAATCTGAATTTTTGTCGAATTTATGTTGTTTAGTAAAAATTCCAAATTTTCTTAAATCTAAATTTTTTTTTTATTTAATATTCTTTAACGTTAGTTTAATTGTTTAAAAATGTTTGCTCTTCAACTTACACTTGAAGTCATTAGTAGCAAATGTATGTACATATGTAACTTCTTAATTTCTTAGCTTCTTCACCCTTTCTGTTAATGTTCATTTTCCAATAATTCTTTCCGTTCTTTCGAATAGTCATTAATCAATTTGTACTTCCCCTTCCTCGTTTCGACGCTTTGCTTCACACTTTGTTAAATTCAAATTGTTATTTATTATCTTTAAATGGCGTTCATGGCTGAGTTAAAGAGACTTGCTACAGGTGTTTTTTGCGAAGACAATTTTTGTTAACGGCTTAAGAAGCAAAAAGAAGAAGAAAAAAACGTGAGTGTTCCTCGTTTATAATTTTAGTTTTTTTTGCTTATTTTTTATTTCGTGTGTTTATCATTTCGCCTGGGCCTAAACCGATAAACGTTTGTAGTACCAAAAAAGAAGATAGAGTTTTTCTGAATTTTTTTTTAACTTGCAGTTTCATACAGATATCGCTTTTAACATCTGTTTTTTTTTGGCATACATGTATGTAGGTATAATGTATTATAAAATATGTTATAGATAACTAAGTATGTTCTTATGCCGAACCAGTTTTCCCTGCTGGCTAACTCAAATTAGGCAGCTAATTAAAATTAGGCAGCTACTTATTTAATTGAGTGCATTGAACTGCCACTGCTCATCAGCAATGGAAACTTTAGAAAATGAAAGTTTATTTATTTAGATTCGTTAATTGAGACAGTCAAAGATTGCAGTGCAAAATCATATATAAAGTACGCAACTATTGTGGCTTAACAAACACAAGTGGATTGTACTTCAGTGGAATAACAAAACCAAGCCAAACAAAGCCAAAATGGTAAAGTTCTAATTCACAAAAAAAAAAATCAAAATTAATAATTCAAAATCCTCTTCTCTCATTTACAGAAATTCTTCTCCTTTGCCGCCTTCATAGCCGCTTTGGCCGTCGCTTGCGCCGACGTCTCCGAATTGGGTTACGGCTACCAGCAGCCTGCAGCTAGCGCTCCATCTCGTTCATACATTCCGCCAGCGGCATCTGCTCCTGCACCAGCCGTCGTCTCTGTCCCGGTACCAGCACAAGTGTACCAACCAGCTCCCGCTGCCGCTGCACCAGCTCCGGTCTTTGCTCCCGCTCCTGTTTATCACCCAGCACCTTCTGCCGCTGCTCCAGCTCCTGTCTTTGCTCCCGCTCCAGCTCCAGTCTATCAGCCAGCTCCTGCACCATCAGCTCCCGTCTCATCTTACATTCCACCTGCACC